CGATGAATTCCGTAAACGACCTCGTTTACATTAACAACTGCAGTTATCTTGTAGTTAACTAACTGACTGTTCAGTTATTATTTAGTAATGTACAGTTTATATTAACTGCGACTGTGTAGTAAAAATACATTAGTTTATCATCTAAACTTGGATTATGTAGAAAGGAAACACTAAATTTAAAATGAGGAAAAATAATATTTTTCCTTACAATCATATATTTATATCAAGAACTTGATTATACATCATTGCACGTTTTTCGTTTAATAAGTGACCAAAATATATCAAGTATTAATTATGAGATATGGGATAAGATTTTTACGTAACTAGGTATTTAACAAAAAACAAATGATTTTTTTATAGTGAGATTGTTTATATTTCATCAAATTCCTGTATTTGAATAATGAACTAAAATTTAATTTTAACGTTGATAGAAAGAAATGTGTTCCGACCATACTAAAAACTAAAAAGTATCACTACATAGGATAAAATAAAATTGTTTTGCCAGTCCCTATTTTTTTATATGTTATATTTATATTTACGTACTGTTATATTTACGTTTAAATATTTAAAACTACGCAACGGATTTTGATGCGATTTTTATTGATAGAGTAATTGAACCCGTGCGAAGCTGGAGCGGGTCGCTAGTTAATTATCACTTGCAAAAACACACCCAGTCCACAAAAACCCAACACAGACGACATATGACGAAACAGACTTTCACGAGGACCAACAATGGTGACCAGACAGACAGACGAACAGACGAGCAGACAAAAAGATCTGTTTGTATGTAAATCAGTAAGTATGTTAATGTTTCTTGTGCTCTGTGTAGTGCTTGTATGTAGTGTAGTGTTGGTACTTGTGTTTAGTGTTCGCGCACGTGTTACTGTCTTGAAGTGTGGAGTACAAGTTAGGAGAGGTTAGCGAATTGGATTGCAGGTATAAGACCTGCATTCCCAGTAGTATTTTATATTAAGACCGTTTAGGTAGTACGTGTATCATACAAACAAACAGTCAATGTAAAAATTATTTAAAAAAAACAAGTGTAAGAAAATGTTTCTGTCATAGTCAGAGAGTGTTATTTAAACGAGTTTTTAAGTTCAATACAAATTCTCTTGTGTTCGTCTTTCTCTATTTTTTTTTTAATATTCCTAACAACAATAACGACGAACTTGATGAGAGCTTATCAGTGACACTTAAAATTTTGCGCAACTGATCAGTTGTATTAAAGTAGGAACTAATATATACGGGAGTAGGTTGATATTCTACTGTAAAAGATTCATTGATGAGATAACTGGTGAATTGTAAGTGTGATCTATGTAAACACACCCATGACACAGGAGAAAATGTTAGTGTGAGCTAAGTGTTTTAAATATGGTCGTTATACATCTGTGTGCAAGTATTTAGGCGTTTGGCTGTTGGAGATATCTACAAACTAATTTTCTGTTTTTTAATGTTAATTATCCCTTTTTTATGGGATAAGTCGGCAAATAAGGTGACAAATTACCTGATGATAAGCAATCGGTGCCGCCCATGGACACCCGTAATACCAGTAGAGTGCGTTGCCGGCCTTTTAAGGTTAAGGGTTGCAGATATTTAAGGATTGGGAAGGGATATGGAAGGGAAGGGATTGGGCCTCCGGCAACTTACACGGCGAAACACAACACTCTGTTTGTTTCAGGCCGGTTTTCTGTAAGACCGTGGTATCACTCCGGTTGAGCCTACCCTATTCCTGCCGAAGCATGGCTCTCCCACATTTACCCTTACTCGCTATTCGCTTATAACTCGCGTGTGGCTCACAATTTGACACCGTCCATCTTTATATGTTTACGGCTCACCTGTACTTGCAAGTGGGTCGCGTCGCACACGACTGCTGACTGCCGGCTGCCGGCGACTCTCACCTCTGATGAAACATGCGCCATTTACATAATATTTGTCACTTATATTAATTTTATACAAAATAAACATTCAGACAAGTAAAGTATCGAAAAAAAAAATACCTGTAATAATTGTAAGTAAAACTGTCAGTAAGAGTGCACATCATAATCACCAGTCTTTAAGTATCTACTACTGGGCAAATGCCTCTTCTTACAGGGAGAAGGTTTGAGCAATAATCACCACGCTTGCTTAAAGGCGGGTTAGCGATTTCAAACTTACTTACAATGAAAATTGGTTTTCTTAAGATTGTTTTCTTAACAGTGATATCTAAATAATCTTAAGAAGAGGATGTTAATCAGCAAAAGTTACTTGCCAGATTTTGAACCCGCTTCCTTATACATTAGAACCACCACCACGTCATTTTCTAAGGTTCTGGGCATCAGTAATTAACACAAATGTATTTTAAATACGAAATTTCACTATAATATTTATTGTGTAAAGTAGGTACATAATGTGTGCATGTAGTGTAGGTACTTATAACACATCACTTTTGGAAAATAAAAAGGCTTCCATAAACTTTTTAGAGGATGTTTTAAAAATAACAAAATTATTCCTGAAAGTGGAAATAATAAAAACTGCATGTTAAACTTAAGATTTAAAATTCATTGCTGCGAGGAGTTATATAAAATGCGGGCAGGTATTTATTTTCAAAATAAACTCGACATGTTTAGACATCAGGGACCGCCCAGGGAACATAAATATTCCGTCAATTGATTAAAACAAATAATTACGCATTCATTCTCCAATTTTATGAACTTATTTAGGTAGTTGGTTATTTCGTGTGTGTTTAAAAAACGAACGAGGGAACGTTTTCAAAACTATATTTATTTAGTCGCATATTTGTATATTAACTGTGACATGTTAAAAGGTAATAGGATCTGATTTATTAGGAAAACAACATATCCAAATTCATCTAAATATCATCTATAAATTAAATTTAGGGCTCTTTTTGGTAATTCTAGTTGAGACATTTTTTATAAACATTACTTTAAGTTCGGAAAAAAGATGATAGAACGGGGTAAGATTAAGTCCACCAGTTCCACCTACAAAGTGTATCAAGTTTATCTTAAGAGACTCTTCAATATGCTAATCCCCGTGTACAAATTACAGTTAATTGATGTCAATCGCGCGCGCAGTCAGCACTTCCACACTGACCCAAATATTTAGTTAAACAAATATTATAAATGCGAAAGTAACTCTGTCTGTCTGCCTTTTCTTCACGCCTAAACTACTAAGCCGATTTGTGTGAAATTTCGTACAGACATAGTTTGTAACTCGAGAAATGACATAGGATAGTTTTTGGACCTAAAATCTGCAGTAAGTCACTATTCCACGCGAACAAAGCCGCAGGCAAAAGATAGTATTATCTAAAATTATTATAAAGTTACTTAAGGATCGGTCATCAACCAAGCTGTATACTCAATAGAATATTTTCTTACCATATCAGCTTTTACAATTTTTTGTTCGATTTACGTCCAGTGTAATATATAACTGTTCCTGTAAAAGTCCAAATATTTTAGCACATGTCCGCATAGCTTCAGACAGTTACAGTTACTAACTGAATTCGCATTATTCAGTGACCAAACGTTCAGCCCATCAAAGTGTCACGGAACTCTGCGTCCGCGCCATCTGTCGGCCGCGTTACTAATTACTGCGCTTTTAGTGTAATAGAAAACTGTAGTTCCCGCTGCTTGGTTATAAGGATTATGATTGAAATAACTACTATTCTCTAAGGACTTGATCTCAAAGTTATACATTTAGAATCGGAAAGATAGGTATATATAATGTTTTTATAATAATTATCGTGAGATATACTAAATTAACTAAAAATTGCGGGTTACTCACGTGTATATCTGTGAATCGTGTGAATCTGTAAGTGGCTCAATGTCACTATTTTTCTGCTAAAATTGTATAATGTAGCTGTTGATTCACCATTTATTAAATAAATAAATAAATAAATAAATATATTGAGAAAAGCTCTAGCTAGCCGCGTCCGCGCACGCTGCTCATGAGGCAGAACCCCTCTGTGGTTCGAAACTAGTAGAGCTTTTCTCAATATATACACGTGAGTAACCCGCGATTTTTAGTTAATATATAATGTGTGTTAAAATATTTTGGAGAAACCAAAATATAGCAAACCATTAGTTCCTAAAAAATACAAGCAGTTCATTAATTTTCTTGAAGAATATTAAAGTCTTGATGTACAATCGTATCGACGTGCCACCGTTTGGCTCGAAGCAACAGAAGAAAAGGGATGGTTAGTATTCTGTAAGAGTTTGACGCCCGCTCCACCTAAAGCAGGAAAAGTCAATGTACCTAAGTAATAAAAAAAAACTTCAAAGTCTAAACCAAAAACACCCAACCTCCAAATTGACTTGACTGCACGATTTGCGTAGTAACTGGCTGCTGTGCAGCGTGCTGTAAGTTTGATTCCCGCATGGAAGATCACCTTGTTGTATGTGAATTTATATGGTTGTTAATGCACCCACGACAAAGGAGATTTCCCCCTGAGTCTAGTGTGGAAGTAAATTATTTTTTTAACACGAGCAAAGTTCATGTACACTCAATCTAAAAAGTCAAAGCCAGGTAAAGTTAGGATTTGCATAAAGTAGAACAAGTAACAACAGCTTATATGGCTGGCTGCAAGCTGTACAGACGAGCACAGCTTGAAGTTGAACGCTTAACACTTGCGAAGTACCGGCACGTGTTGAGTTAGCGAAATTGCAATACTTACCTTCGTTGTAACAGTTCACAGCTGGACATTTTGTTTATTATGACAGTACAACCAACTCCACTGGTTGGACTATAAGGTTTCTCAATAAAAGAGGGTGGGAGGGAATCATAGAATGACTTTTCCAGCTCTGGGTGGGCCAAGAGAGAGTGTCAGACTCTTCCTGACTAAATACCACCTTCTTCTTCTTTCTTCTCCGGGTTCTTTTTTCTCCGGTCCGGGGTTAAAAAGATATGAAATATACAAGACTTACAAATATTGTCATTTAAGATTCCTTGGATAACATAGGTTTTAATTATTTTTTAAGATTTTTTTATTTTGTTCTTTATTTTATTTTACAGTTTGAGTGTTTTTTTATGTTATTAGTCGGCAAACGAGCAGACGGATTACCCGATGGTAAGCAATCAGCGCCGCCCATTGACACCCGCAACGGAGGATTTACGAGTGCGTTGCCGACCTTTTAGGGATTAGGGATTTGAAGATTTAGGGATTGAGGAGGGATTGGGGGCGGGGAAGGATTGGGCCTCCGGTAACCTCACTCACACGGCGAAACACAACGCAGTGGTTGCTTCACGCCGGTCTTCTGTGAGGCCGTGGTATCACGTGGTATCACCGGTCGAGCTGACCCATTCGTGCCGAAGCATGGCTCTCCCACACTTAAAAGTTCGTTTTTTCGTTCTCAATTTTCGTTCTCAGTTTTTAAAGAAACAGAACCCGAACAGAACAGAACTATCGCACCTGTAATTAATTCGCATTTAATTTTACAAGTAGCACACATCTCTAGTCAACACAATCCCCGATTTACGTCAATTACTGAACTCATATCCGGCTCGGCAATGAGCTGAATCAAATCATTCAGTTCAATCTCGTAATGCTTTCCATTCAGATCAAATATATCAAACAGTATCATAACGGAAATAAGTACAAACAAAAGAATGCTATCTGATTTATGGCGCCAATGAAATATACGTTTGTAACTTCAAACTCAGTTTATGATCATTACACGCTTCAATACATATTTTCTATAATATTTATTGCAATAAGTTACGCTTGTCACTTTTTATACTCGGTTTACATAATCAATTAATATTTTTATTAGTCAAACATTTATCATACATTAATCTGCTCGTTATGTCAGATATGTTGGCTACCCGTGACCCGCCCGCCTCTCCAGTTAGTCAGCATTTAACATCATAAAATATTGCTAAAATAAAAACAAGCGTATGACAGTTTGACGCGAACAAATAAACTTCTCAACTCATTTACACGGTACCCATAAACACAATAAATTATTACATTAAAATCTAATTTTTTATCAAAAAAAGAAATATGGAGGAACATTTCAACACGTCGAATTTAGTTGTAAGCGCTGAGATGTTTATGTCCGCCCAAACTTCAAAGATTTATACGCGGCCGTGTCAACGTACGGCCAGCCTTTGATTCCTTCGCCGTGTTCTCGTGTAATACTAACGCGTTCCTCATTACACGGTATAGTGAACTGTCGCGTCACTTCCGACAGCTTTGTAAATCATAATTGAACGTCTCGGCGGCGTGTCACGTGTCCCGCGTGTCACGCACTGCCTGCTTGAGACACCGCCTCACTAGCCGCGGCCTGCACGCCTGCACGCCTTGACGCAAACGAAAGCTTTCAAAAAACCATCACTAAAATATGAAGCCATTTTGTTTTACGATAATAAATTCAAATGTCGAACTCAATATTTATTGCCGTTTTTATAGTTTTCACTGTAACTAAAGATGTTATTTTAGTAAATAAAATAAAATTTAAAACGGAACGCGTCGGATACGCGGTGGAAGCGCGTCAAACCGGTTCTCACGATCATCATAAAACGTAACATATCTCTATTATTGTTGGAGCCCTTCCAAAGTGTAACTATTACACCTTCTTAGCGGTGCGAGTGATGCACCGCGCTGCGCCCGCCGGAGGCAGCGCCGGGCGCGCGGAGCGGCCGGGGTCCCGCGAGGTGCAGCTAATTACCGTGGCGGAGCGCCGGGTGCCGCAACACGTTTCATCAGCTGACCTAATAACTTCAAATATTATGATGTTAATGTAGGCAGTGGCGGGCGCGCTGCACGCGCGTGCCGCACGCCCAACTTAAGTTTATAAATAGAATGCACATCGCCCTGTATGTATTTAACGTAAGGAGCTTTTTCAGCGAGGCGGGCCAGTCGCCGCGAACGTCTGTGCGCGCCGCCCGCGCCTGCCCCGCGCGCCGCCGACACCGGCCAACGCAACTTTTGGAAACGGAACGCGAACTTTTTTTCTATCGAATTTTTGAAGTTTTTCGATGTTAGTGGGTGCGGCGGTGCAGTGCGGGACCCCGAGCCGCCAGTGAGTGCGTGACCGGTGTACACGCGTGGACTCGCCGCTAATCATCGCGGCGCGTAACCGTGTTTCAAAAATAAAACGTTGCCGATTCGAAACCGGAGCACCCCGAAGGTTAATGACAAAATAAAAAGCATGCATTAAAATTGTGTGTCTGAAAACTGGCGATCGCAACCTGGAGCCGGGCGTAACGTGCACGCCACGTGAGTCGCGATATATTCTGGCATGACGAGACGTTTGGTTATCTTGTGAGACTCGGTTCTTTTAAATTTACGTAAAGTGTGATTACGTCGGCGGGCCTAGGTAGGTGAACGTGGCGAGGTGCAGAGCTGCGAGGTGCCGGGACAATTAGTGCACTGCTTGTAATTAACTCTCACAATCGCCGCCGTTGCTAGTTTTGCAACTAATCAAGGTGTTCGTTAGTATTTGTTTACATTCCAGTTTCGTAATAACAGCGCGGTGAGAAATTAAAGTATGTACTCCGAATTTTAGTACACATTCTGAAAACTAATGATGAACTACTAAACTGTTTTATGTACTGAAACGAAAACAGAGCTTTGACTTCATAAAACTACAATTTTAAAGTATGAACCCGCATTAAATTGGTTTTTTACCTGTAAACAAAATAACACAGGTACAAAATTTTTCGCCGGCGTGAAAAATATACATCTTTAATTAATTCAAACTTATATTATACTGAAACTAAACAAATAAAATAAAATGAACTAATAATGTAGAAAAGGAAACTCAAATTCAAATATTCTGCAGCCAAAAATTCGAAATAAACTTTTTTTTATATTTCGATTGCAAAATCTTTTTTTTTCTCTAATTGAAGTTCCTTTTTCGTAAACAGCCAGTTTATTAGCTAGAGATTAATTGTGCACTTTTTTTAGAATCCAATTCATTGGAAGCGATACGTTCACGATCAAACCTCCCGTGTGGTGATTTACGACAACTTGCGAAACGTTTCTCGATAATGCTCATAGTTCATCGTACGAGGCGTTTGGACAATGTTGACCCAATATCGCCGGGAGCGGTCTGCTTGCCGAATTACAATGTACCTCCTAAATTAAACAGTCGCTAATCGAGGTCGTGCTTTTTAAATTAATTATACCTACCGATACACACGCCGCGTGTGGTTCGTCCAATAATTTAAAGGTGGTCGATGATATTTTTATGAAATATCCATGTTTGAGATGTTGTACGGCTTCTTGTGAACCGTGTAGTGTTGTGTAGGCTGATATTATGTTCGGTTCAGTTTATTTATTTTGATTTTAGAATGATTTTTTTGTATTCTATTCAAATTTTAAACAGTTCTGATGTAAGTATCTATTCCTTAACAAATTCAAAAAAGGTGAATTTAAAACAAAGCCATTAAAAAGTACTAAACTAAGAAAACATAGAGACCGCTAAAATAAATAAAATATTTCGTAACCCACTAAGAAAACTACAACATTTACAAAAAATGAAACCATTAAATCATCCCCAAGTTATTTAACGAACTGAAATAAACATTTATTGCGTATCGATGCTAGGCAGAATGTGCGTTATCTTTGCGTCCACTGCTTTCCCGCGCTTTTCTCTGTCACTCATTAGCGATTAATGGCGGCCGCATAATGGCTGGATGGTTTGATGGCTTGACGCATCCGATGACTGACAACAAATGGTCATAGGTCTGTTGAGACGGTTATGGCTGTAACACGAGTGAACGATTGTAACAAATGATTTATATATCTACTGCATTTATGAGCTCCTTCCTATTTATGTAAATTATGTTTCTTGTATAATAAAAATTACTAGTTATTTTGGGTTTAGGTATTTTAAAACCACTTTTTATGATCTTCTCACATAATATTTTAAGGATATACCTACTTACTTACTGAGCGACTATTTTCATAATAATAAAATGCTTGGCAAAGTAGATGCGGAATGTATAAAACTTATTTTCTTGTTAACTTCACAATATGCTTTCATAATACCTACACAATTTTTCAAGAGGATAGCTTTTGCATACTATTTCATCTTTGCCTGAAAGATATTTTTTGTTTTAATATCTTTGCAAACGTAATCATATTTTGATTAAAACATGTTGTTTCTTAGTATAGAAGTAAGAATCATCTACTGCAATTCTCGTAAAATATTGAGATATGAATATCTTATAAGGGTCGATGGATCCAGTAAGCCTTAAATTATAATGATCTAACAACTTCTTTGGAAGTTTTGTTCTTAAACTATTTGAAACTAAATGTCACACCTGGTTTTATCTCGAAGTTTTGAAATTTAAGTTTAAATATAAAGGCCGTTACAATATTATGAGCTAAATAATGTTCACTACTTTGCTGCGTGGAAATGGATAAATGAAACTACTATACCATTAATAACTGCAATGGCAACAAAATTATGACAGGAACTAAACATTACTGGTAGCAACATTAATCATATTGCGTTTTCTCTGCACGCAGCAATAAATATAGCTATAGGAATCTGTCAAATATCTCTAAGTAACCTTAATATTTTATGATAAAGTTGAAAATCAATGAAATTGTAGTTAGCTGGATGTAGTCTGCGGCTATTTATTTTCAACTGTGGCACGTGTCACAGATCTCACAGTTGGTACTGCAAATCACAGCTTCTAAGAAGCGTATTTGCGGTGTGTATTAGTGTCAACTGTGTGTTCACAGGACATCGCGACAATAGTACTTTAGAGCGAGCGTAAATAGGTACGGACTTTAAAATGTAAGTACACGTAGTTCAACCATTCAAACTATTATTTTTGAACTAGCTACACTCGCACAGTTTCACCCACTGCTCGGCTCCATTTAATTCTAGCGTTATGTTTTATAGCCTATAGCACTCAGGAACATTGTAGCTACCTATCAGTGAAAGAATTTTGGGAATCCGATCAGCGGTTCCAAAGATTACCCTTTACATACAAACGTACAAATTTTACCTCTTTATAATATTACCACCACAGACGCCCAGTAGAGCTGATGTTCAGACGGTGATGGTTGCGGGTCTAGCGTAATAAACTACCGCAACGCCTGTCTGGAGAAGGAGAAGGAACGGGGTGATTGTTAGCCAGAAGAGTAGTGATTTTTAGACATGAGAACTAATTTGATGATTCCGCAGTATGAGTAATATGAAGGTATATGTAGTAATATGTATAGTACTATTTATCAAAGGTTTCGACTCGAAAATATTGTATTTAGAACAATTAGAAATACTGAATTTTTAATTTAAATTCTCTGTACATTTCTTTGAGTAGATTAGTAAGAGTAGTTATAACCCTTAATTATAACTTAAGCTTGTATATGAACGGTTATGCATTGTCTTAATTTATGATACCCATAAAATACATTCACCATTTTTAAAATGTATGTATTTCAATAAGTTTATGGCATACCTATTACCACGATTAAAATTTAAATACAGTAGTACTGTGTCATAAATATTTAATCTTATAAAACCATAGAGTAGCATGTCTATATTATTATTTTTATTCAACACCAATAAACGGTCGAGGTAGTTAAACATGAGCGCGCGCAACGTAACCGTTGTAAACTTCTGTTTTATTGGTTGGCGTTCGTTTGAAAGAAATACAAATTGTGAAGAAAGAAAACTTTGACGTTTATTTAGCGGTGGGGAACATTCTTTGGGTGGGTGGGCAATGCAGGCGGGCTTACTATGATCACGAATCTAAATTAAGGAAAAATATAACGTTGCACTGTATCTTACAAAATAATTTTTGTAGTATATATTTGAAAGATAATAAAATTGTGATCCCCATTTGAAACTAACATTTAAATAGTAAATAATTGAAGATTTCCCGTATCCATTTTTGAATTGTTAAAAACAAAAATAAGCTTAGTTAGTCTTCAAACAATACATGATGTAAACATGCAATACCTAAAACGTGCGAAAAGATGTTGAACATTTAAATTAAAAAAAATATGTACCTAATACTCGTATCATTATCATATAAGAGGTTATATTTTCGTCATAATATTAACTCCACCTATAAAGTTTTAAGTTCAATATAAATTCCATAAATCAATAATACAGTTACATTTTAATTATAGAAAACAAAAAATAAACTAAGAAAAAAGTACAGATTGAAGATGAGTAATGTGTAATGACTCAGAACCGGCATAGAGTAGCAATCCGGCATAGACAAGGATATTGTCGTACCGTTTTATTGTCTTTGGGAAGCGCTCCATCGAACTGTTTTCCACAGAGTCGCTAAATATAGGAGTTTAGAATCTTACTTGTGTAACGATATTTCGTACATACACAAAACAAAAAAGACAAAAAGCCTTTGTTTTTATCGTGGTGTATATTAGACTAGGTAATTGAGATAGGTTAGACTTTATTTTCTTGGTTTTAAAAAACTATTCTCCATGAGATTTTTTATTTTCTCCTGTTTCGTGGTTGCATTTATAAATATATAATTTTACATACACACCACGCTCAGTCCCGGAACAACAATTTGTGGATCATACAGAGTTGTACCGTGCGTCGAACCCGCGACACGTTGCACGGCAGCTAGTTTCCCAGTCACCCTAAGTACTCCGATAAAAAGGCTTTTATTATGTAATGTTAAAGTATTTGCTTTTATAAATTTAACTTCTGAACGTACCTATTACCTGTTTTCCAGTCGAGGTAACTAGATTTGATCTCGGTGATAAATCCGTTTTCTAGAAATAGTGCAGGCTGGATTCTAAAACTAAAAAATAAACTCAATTCAGTACTAAAGATATTTTTCGAATCAGAAGTACCTTTACATGAAGTATGGACCTTAAGACAGCATCAATAGGTATTACAAATATTGACTTATCTTTACTGGTTTGAGTATCATTTACATGCCTAAAATATTGATAAAAATTACTCCATGTGTCAAAGTCTTGTCGTATATTTAATAAGACGATTATAAGCACTTTTGAACGTCCAAGATTGAAAGACATAGAAAAAATTACAGTCAGCTTATCAGTCCTCTAGTGAAGCTATTTTCTCGATCCAAAATTTAGATTCCTATAGAGAAGAATGAGCAGGAAACTCCCTATTTTTGTGTGCGTGTATCTATGCATCAAATGTAATCCAAATCCGAAGTAATTTCATAAAACAGTAACAAATATTAATGCTTACTTTCAAACAATCGCGCATTTCGCGTTTATAATATTATAAGTCAATTTTGAAATATGCTAAA